TTTTTTTTTTACTCCAGGCAGAAATACCATTATAGGGCTTTCTAAAGGCTCTTCTCAATGCAATATTACATATGAGAGGACAATAATCACATGTAAAAGCTACTTTCTGTAATACAGAGAAGAGTCAAGCAACTTTAACTAAATTATATCGAAAAGCCTAGACCCCTTGACCTATAGCATTCCTCCCTCTTCAAGTTCCCACTTTCTTCGTTGAAAGTTTCCAGCTGTATTGAAAAATTGTTGTTCTGAACAAAGGAGGTTTCACCATCAATATCATCTATTTGATTTATCAATAATGCAAAAAAAAATGAACCAAGAGTCATTTCTGCCGTCATTAACGAAATTTTCTAAAAGAAAGAAAAGCATACTTATTATCAAGGGAAAAATGACGAAATACAAGAGCAGCGTCTTTAGCAACACTTCAACGAAAAAAACACATAAACGTATAAAACACAATAAACAGAAAGCATGCGCGCAGTGGAACCAAATTCAACGTATCAACGGTAATCGATTATGATCAAATGCGTGCAAGAGCCCAATTTTTAGGATCGACTGTTGAGATCACCAACATCGCTTTTGCAAACTTTGAGGATATACCCGTGTATGAAATCAATAATGTTTAATAACCTCTCTGACATTAATTCTTTTGCATTCTTGTCCGTCATTTTCCGCAAAAGAACTTCTGAAGATATAAAAAGTTTTTAAAAGCAAATATTCGATCACGGAGTGAATGTGACAGCTGGATATAACAATATATGATTTCCATTCAAGTGTTTGATTTGACAGTGTTGTTATTAGACTCAAACAAAATACAATTTAACGCATAAGCGAAGACAAAAGAGCAGTTGGAAATTAACGGCATCACATTACCTCCGAATAGCGAAAATTAAGAGCTGATTTTGCGGAAAAATCTCTGACTCTACATTGATACTCTGCTTCCATTAAAATCAATGTAAAAATGCTAGACTGAGATATCAGCAGACAACGATGACAGGGTTATATCCACCAATATCGTTTGACAGATTCTCTAATAATAAGACTTCACTATATCGGAACAGATTTTTAGCAGCTTCCCCACAGATTACCAATATATAGCATGAGCAGTCCTTTTGTTTAACACGGTATCTGTTTAATAGACAAAACATGGAAAATTTGCAGTGCAAACATATGCCAATCTTCGTTCTTTATCCGACGTGACGTAGTCCCTGGAAAGGAATCTCAAATTTCTAGATCTGTGGATAGGATGCTTCCCGGCCAACTTATCCAACCAGGTTACTCTTTAACTTACAACCTAGTGAAAAATATAAAATCAGTTCTTTAACCACCTTGCATTGAAATTGGCTTCTTTATTAATTTTCGCTTTCAATAAACATAGCGCGTCTTTTTTCAAACATGTACAACGTGAAACGTGGTTCAATCCAATATTTTAAAAATATCTACATATTAATCATCTTATCTTTTAACGAGAAGAAACTGGGAATGATTGCGCTCATACAAAAAGTAAAACCTTACATAAGTGAAATAAGAGGTCCAGCTTATAGGGATAGCCCAAAGATGGCAATAAATCAAATCCGTTATATAAAATTAAAATCAATTTACTGACTAGAGATAGTAAGTTAACATATAAAAATCCTAGACAACTGAAAGGAAATGATGAAAAATCAACTCATTAACAGATTGATTGAAAAGCACCAATAAAGAATATTGCAAAGTATCACATGAAGAAAGTTAGAAGAGAAAGTGTGGAAATTATCGCTTCACAACCTATCCTTATCTGCTTGAAAACACTTTCTGCAACCCTTTTCAACCGAAGATTTCTTCCTGAACTTTGCCTGACACTTCAAATGCGATAATGAACCACAAGCGCCGCATTTGTAGACTTTTTCCATTTGAAAAGGAAAAAGTGGTTCCTCGTTGTTCTCGCAGTAGGCGCATGTAGTTGCATACTGCTTGCAGTGCTGAAAAGTTCCACGTTATTGCGACTGAACTATACGCCGAACGGAAAACGAAAGGAAAGAGACGCTCCATGAGGATGTTCGCATTATCAAACAATATAGCGAGTCGCTAATTGAGGAAACAAGGCGTACAACTACTATTAAGCCATTTAAAACTCTCTCATACAGTGTCTTAAATATACTGTATTTTTTCCGCTAGCAGTCAACTTCTGCAGCTTATTGACGTGACTGACGATTTGTAAGGGATTATTGTAGTCTCCCAGAATTCAAAATCGGGCAAATCCTTCGGCATTCATTTTATAGGTTTATGCCATTCGTGACAGCAATTATGTTAGATATTGGGGGTGTCAAAAAATACTCGAATATATACCAGAAGTACTGACTTCATCAGCTGAGTCCATCTCTTCAAAGCCTACAGCAGATGTTTTACAATAACCCGTATTAGTGCGAAGTTACATTCATGATCTATAACAAATACTTGCACCTAATACTAAGTACAGCACGACTGTTCGTTCTGGACATGAGGATAAGAACTATTTTTGAAAGTGAGAGATGCTAGAAGCAATGAAGAAACATTGATGATAGACTACTTCTTTGCTTCTGCATCTGCGCCAACGCCAATAACAGAATTCTTAAAGAAATGTCTTACCTCACAAGCTTCTATATGACACCTTGCATAGTACACTATCGGCTCTAACAATGAACTCATATCCTTATTATGTACACGTATAAGATCAGTTAAGGAAAATAGATCCAAAGAGTGCAGCAAATGTTGCTCTAGTGATGTGAACAGCGTCCTGAGACTAAAAATGTCGATATTTTACCAGGAAAAAATGGCTTGAAGTATTATGAGACAAATTTTCAACTCACTTTCCGCATTTCGTTACCGTTTCTTCGGCATCCGGGCAATCTTTGATGTAGTCCCACATATAAGATAATTTCTCTCGTAGAACGATAACATGTTTAAGAACCCGTATTTTTTCGACCTGAAACACAAAAATGATATTTTTCGCTGCTAGTCAGCAAAATAAAAAAAAATAAAGAAGCAGGAACCTACGATATGTGGAGCTACTGAACATACGTTGATTGCAGGCACATCACGAATTTCCGTCAAAAAATGGAAAGCAATATCGGAAACAGGAAACTCACTGGAATTGGATAAGAAGAATTTGAAAAATGAGTCCTGTAGGTTAAGCTGGAAGGTATAATCTTCAAAGAGAGCTTTATAGGTCTTTCCGAATACCTAGTGACCGACTACCTCACATTGAGATGCATGGCGGTAGATGCACCTTACAT